TAAGGGAGCTCCAACTATAAAAGGGGCTCCCACATTGAGGTAAATACACAAAGACTTAAGTTCTAAGCTTCCTCACTTGCTTGGTTCAACCCCCTACAACCCTTGGCTAACTTGACCGTCGGAGCCTTCGCCCCTGGGATAACTCCCGGAGCTTCTGACGTAGTCTTTATTTCAACAGGTTGGACCAGTGGGCCTCAAACACTAAAAATTATATTATTACCCTCGACTCCATATATGCCAACACACGCCATTCATGCTTGTCAGAAAACATGAATATCATATGGGTGATGTGGTTTTTTATGATACCGGAAAGGTATCACACATGAAATGCTTTTACCAATCATAAATTCATGTAAATAGAAATGAATGTCATGGATTGACTTGGATTATACCAGTTTGATAGGTTAGGTATTATATTCCACCCGGTTGTCGTACATTAAGTAGAGTTAATTTCCGCTGCAATAATAGTGTCGTAGAGTTAGATATTTTACGAACAAAATATGTTTTAACCCTCTACCAATTTGATCTAATACCGTATATCTCAGTATAAAACTGGGACCCACCATATATTAAGATGTGCGCTGTGGAATTATATTGGTAGAGGGTTTGAACGTGTTTTATTGGCAGTTAATCAGATTCAGTGTCATAGCGCAAAGGTAAAATGGAAAATCAAGCCGTAGATATATTGCACTGGCTCACCAAGATGTCACTTTTTATTTTTCTAATTCAAGGTGGGGCTGTTACAATAAATGATGGGCTTCCATTTTATTGTTTCATAGCATTGCTATGATACTGTGGTAGCTAATGTGGTTTGATTAACAATATTTGTCCGACATCGGATGCAAGCGTACGAATGCAGCAGATTTCAAGTCTAAGGAAAACTACACTATCGCTATACATAACAATTCGGCTAAAATACGGATACCTACCCTGTATTTCAACACTGCTCCTACTAATAAAGAAAGGAATTCACATCTACGCCGCACAATCCACAAATGTTCCACAGCACATCCCAATCGTCTTCCATACTTGTCATAGGGAGATGCTCCCAAATACATGGTTAGGATGTTTTGTAGTTCGGCCCGTGCCTCCGGACGGGCTTGAACGTGATTATAGACCCGCGGGTTTAAATTCGGCCAAAAAGCCTGGCCTGCAATAAATTCGAGTTGGACTCGGGTTTTGTCAAAATAGTCCGGCCCGAGTCCGGCCCGACCTAATATTAGACTTAAAGTGAGTAATGTCATTATGTCCATTTGAATAAATTTTTTTATTTAAGAATGTAAAACTGTGTTTTAAAATATAAAAGAAAGGGGAAAAAAACCATCTTGTAGGCYCATTGTTCATTTAAATAGGAAAAAAAACTATCTGAATTTTTAATTCTAATTTGAATAGGGAAAATTATTTTTTTTTATTAGGTCGGGCTTCGGGCTTTTTATCAAGGCCGGGCTCAGGCCAGGCTCGGGCTCGGGCCTAACATATTTCCCTTAATGACAAGTGAAAGTCTGACCCGAGCCCAGCCCGGCCCATGAACAGGTCTACTTGTAGGGCACTTGGGGGGGCGTAGATGTGATTTCCAAAGGAAGAGGGTAAAATCTACTTCTTTCATCAGTTCATTAACTGATTCAGTGCTCTACATAACATGGCTTTTCCAACTAAGTTGACATGTCAGGTGGAAAAAAATGTAGACGAGGGGAAAAGGGAAAACCATAGGGGGTTTTCCACCAAAGACGACTTGCCTTAGTTTTTTTTTGACCTCTACCTTTCTTCAACTGTTCCAATTAAGGTTTAAAATATCGATACATTTGATATATCAGTGTAAGCATATCGGGTAAATCGATACTATTTTTTTTTAATTTTTTTTTCTGAAACCAATTAAAGGGGACCAATTTAAGCTCTTCCATCCCCTGAACCGGTCAGACCCCCCGATAACCCACTATAAGGACATACCTGACAGGTCCCGAAGCAATGCGTATCAGCAGATACAAGCCGATACGTATCAATACTTTGGCTCCAATATCAACATCTTTGCTCAAATCACATCCTAGCTTTTAGCAGTGAACCATTATGAGTAGCTATAAATCGACTTGGTTAATATATTTCCAAGGAAAGTTCTCTTATGTGTGCTTGAAACCGACCAACAAGTATATCTCCATGTAATTAGTTCAGTTTGACCAGCAATGGACGTGGACCATGATGATCTTGAATTGTTCCGTGGTGGTGTCCAACTGTCCATGTTAATAGGAGTCTAAAATCTATCTAAAGGGAGTCCGGATCTGCTCTCACACCAACCTTATAATGCGTTCAGTCGCACATCAGTAACACATCCGATTCTTTGTGCTGTTATTCATGGAGAGGTGTTTCTTATACACGGTGAGATGAGGCTGTGAGGTCGGTGCAAGGTGCTGCTCTGTGAGAAGCATGCAAATCCTGATTTATTTAAAGGTAAAAAGAGTGCCTGTTCATGAAGAACTTGTCTTGAAGCTTATCACCATTATTATGGTTGGCTATCCAATTACTATCATCCCCCCTTCTCGCCTCTCGACTCTCACTCTCGACAAATATCTCGAACGAGTTCTCGAAGTGTATTGTCGTTCCAACCATAGAGCCCAAGACCATATCAGCCCAAGGTGGGATCTTGGGAAAGAAGAAGGGTCGGGTGGAAGGTTACAAGTTCCCGCTTATACTCATCAAAGTTATAAAGGAAATTAAGTTACAGATTCATCACACATCAGCTAACCCAATGCTTTAAATTCATGGTATTTCTTGTATAGTTGTATTAATTACCTTAGAACGAGATAGAGCAGCTAATACTGGACATAATCTTACCACTGCCACAGTCCTCCCTCTAAAGAGCATAATAGAGGAGATTCAACTAAGGATGTATTTGCATCGGGTTTTCTTTTCTCTCCTTTAATAGCTTGCCTTCAGTAATGAAAGGCCATTTAGTTGAAGAAGACAGGGATTTCTCATCTTCTCTATTTGTCTTTTGTTTTATTTTAATGTATTTTGCAGAGAACCTTTAAATGGATCATTGCCTTTTCATGACAAATTTAAAGTAACCTCATGGAACATTCAAAAATTTTGACAAAAACAAAGGCATAGATTCATCATCCACCCTTAAATTTTATGCCACCTCTCCACAACTACGTTTTGTGCAATTTGTTTTAGGCTGCTGACAACGTTACCCCTAGGTGAGAAAATTATTTATCCACCTAAGAGGTGGGTATCACTTACCCGAGGAAAATAAATTTTCTCTGGCCCCCCACCTAAATCTGAAAAAAAAAACATGGGTATCTTGGTCAATGGGAACCAAAATCCCATTGACCAACTATCCCCTCTCTCAAAATCCAAAAAACGAACAGGCCCTTAATAATACTCTTAGGCTTCGTTCGCTTTTTGATAAGTTATTTACCTGAGTAAATGCATGTTTCTTAGGAAAGACTTATCCGGGTAAGTGCATTTACCCATATTCTTTCATTTCCCATGTAAATAAGGTAATGACCATTTTAGCCATAAAACTCCAATATTAAAAGGGGCATTTTTGTCCCGTTCAAGTGTTGGCAACTCTCCCCCCCCCCCCTAGCGGAAAAGTTATTTACCCACCTAGGAGATAGGTATTATTTATCCAAGTAAGTGATACCCAAGAAAATAAACTTCCCCTTCCCCACATAAATCCGAAAAAAGAATGAATTTCTTGATCAATGAGAATTAAAATCCCATTGACCAACTTTCTTAACTTAACTCCCATGTGTTTTTTTAAGGACATCTAGCACACACCTATGTTGTGTTTTCTAAGGACATCTAGCACATTCCGTCACAGATACATTTTAGGGCATGAAGAAGATTTTTGGTTATTATTGGTAGTTTATGCTTTCATATATAAAATTAGATAGTTGGGTTGGAGCTATTGTTTCTCTAATAACTGGTTATATGTCTATCTATCTACCTTCATCACGATGCATTGGCTTTGGTTTAAAGCCATTCTATTCTTACTCACGGAGTGAGAAACAGAGTCGTAGGGATTGCTAACAGAGCTGGGTCCGAATGGACCAAACTCTGAAGGAATTAGACACACACGAAGGCAGCAAAGCACATGATGCTGCTCAACTCAAAGATGAGCGGAGACCCCAACCACCCCCTTTTGTTTTGTTTTGTTTTGTTTTTGTTTTTTTTTTGTTTTTTGTTTTTTTCCTTGAAAGAGTTTAATCTACGTTATCTAAAACGTGCTGATTTTTAATGCTTACTTGGAAACAAATGCAAATTGAATCGACAAGGTGGTCTGGCTCTGGCCATTGGCCGGCTCGCCAATGTTGGGGTTGCAAATGCTGTGAGATTGGTGTGAGATATGCTCTATTTGGAGCAAATCCATATATCCAATCTCACCTGTAATATGGATTTATTCCTCACAATACACGACTGGATAAGAATACCTCCATACTTGTATATTGTCATTCATGGAAAAATTCTCAATACATGACTGCAATCTGCTGTGTAGGGGTAAACATTTGGTTTATTTGGTTAAAAATCGAATTGAATAAATCAAATTTTTTAAAACCAAAATAAAAAATGAAAACTGAATCGAAATTGAATTATAATAAGACCAAAATTTTCGATTCGGTTTTTAATTATTTCAGTTAAAAATCGAATTTAATTAATATATAACCTATAATATATTATTATAATATATATTATGAAATTTAATTTCATTATAATACATTATATATAATATATTAATATATAAATATATAGTATATTATATATTATATAATGAATTTTAGTTAACTTGATTTATTCGATTAACCAAATTTCTAAATCTAAAAACCAAAATAGCTAAAAACCAAATTACCCAAAAATCGAAAAATTAAATAAAAAAAATCAAAACCAAAATTTTTGGTTCGATAATTAAGTTTTAACTGAATAATGCTCACCCTTACACCAACCTCACGGTATATCCCAACCGCACACTGGATCTCCGATACTTGTTTATTATTAATGATGGAAGATATTCTCAATACACGGTGGGTGTGGTCGTGAGGTCGGTGTCAGGAGCCATTACTGAGGAGCAAATCCCAATTCGTATGACGTATTGCACTTCATCGTAAAAGCACCAGCCAACCCAACCATAGTAACGGGGTAACGGACTATTAACCATAGTCAAACTTTTGCTGACGGGAGCAATCAACACGGGCACTGTCATCACTCACCGTAGCCCGTAGCCGAAGCAACACTGTGTGGAGCCAGGTGGTTGATAAATGATAGTAATTCCATGATTCCATCTGTACGTTGATAGATGTTACCGTAGGTCCGTATGAATAGCACTACGCTAAAATTAAGAATAACTCTACTGTCTGCAGCCTGCGATCTGCGTCCGCCTCTCCCAGACCAGAAGTCAAGTCAGAGAGAGGATTCCTTTTTCACCCAATATCTAACCGTTAGAGATGAGTACGTGTCGCCAGATACGATACGATGCCCGTCCCCGTCTAGTCGAATTCCTTTGGATCCTCGCCTTCCAATTCCCCTAGTCGTCATCTTGTGTTCTAGGCAAAGAAAGACAATAGCAGTAATAAATTATTAGAAGACATTACTGTCCAAGTGTCAACTAGTCGCCCGTGATCGATTCTTCTATATAGCTTTAAGACAAGAATATCTTTCTTTTGCAGTAATGGATCGTCGGATAGATTAGCAATGTTGTTTTCGGACGAGATTCCCTCCGGCATCTGCCTTTACTTGCTTCTCTCTCTTTGTTTTTCCGGCGACGTAGTTGATTCTCAATCAACGCAATTTGATCTAGGAACTTTAACTCTGAACAGTCTGAAGCTTCTCGGAGATGCTCATTTGAGTAATGGCAGCTTGCGTCTCACTCGTGATTTGTTCGTCCCTAATTCCGGCGCTGGGAGGATTTTGTACAGTAAGCCCGTCAGGTTCCGCCAGCCTGAGACTCCTCCGGCTTCTTTTTCGACTTTTTTCTCCTTCTCGGTCACTAATCTCAACCCATCTTCCATCGGTGGAGGACTCGCTTTTCTAATCTCGCCGGATGACGAGACGGTCGGCGACGCTGGTGGGTTCCTTGGCCTGATTGGAAGAAATGCGGTGTCTGGATTCGTTGCGGTTGAATTCGACACATTAATGGACGTAGAATTCAGGGACATTAATGGGAACCATGTGGGTTTGGATCTGAACAGCTTGCTTTCTACTCAGGTGGGTGATTTAGGTGCAGTTAATGTGGAGCTAAAAAGCGGGGATCTCGTGAATGCTTGGATCGATTATGATGGCCCGACTCGGTCGTTTAATATCTCTGTTTCGTACTCGAATCTCCGGCCAACCGATCCGCTTCTGTCATTTAATCTCGACCTGGAACGGTTCGTCAACGATTTCATGTACGTGGGTTTCTCTGGTTCGACTCAGGGGAGTACAGAGATTCACAGCATTGAACAGTGGAGTTTTAGTTCTTCATTTGGCGGAGCTTCATCTTCTGTCTCCTCGTTCCCATCCTCTGTAACGGCTAACGCATCAAATTCGGCAACTCCTTCCTCAGCTCCTACCATCTCTACTTCCGACTCCAACAAGTCATCCTGCCATAACCAGCTCTGTAAGCAAAGACCCGGCGCGGTGGCGGGGGTGGTAACAGCTGGAGCTTTTTTTCTGGCCATTTTTGCCGGTGTTGTCATTTGGGTGTTCTCCAATAGGTTCAAATCACTCAAAAGATCACAGTCTCTTGCTCCCGATATCATCAAAAACCCAAAGGAGTTCAGTTACAGAGAGCTGAGGTTGGCCACAAAAAACTTCGAATCTGCCAGAATTATAGGCCATGGTGCATTCGGGACCGTATTCAAGGGCATACTTCCCGACACGGGAGACTTCATCGCTGTGAAGAAATGTAGTCATGGAGGAGATGAGGGCAAGACTGAATTCTTGTCGGAGCTTTCAATAATTGGGACGCTACGACATCGAAACCTGGTCCGGCTCCAAGGGTGGTGCCACGAGAAGGGAGAAATCCTACTAGTCTACGATTTTATGCCTAATGGAAGCCTCGACAAGGCTTTATTTGAAGGGAGGTCTCCTCTTTCTTGGCACCACCGGAGAAAAATTTTAATGGGTGTGGCCTCTGCTCTGGCCTACTTGCATCAAGAATGTGAGAATCAGGTAATTCACAGGGATGTCAAGACTAGCAATATAATGCTCGACGAAGACTTCAATGCCCGACTGGGGGATTTCGGTTTGGCGAGGCAGGTCGAGCACGACAAGTCCCCGGAGGCGACGGTAACGGCTGGGACGATGGGGTACTTGGCTCCTGAGTATCTCCTCACAGGAAGAGCTACAGAGAAGACTGATGTGTTCAGCTTTGGAGCTGTAGTACTGGAGGTGGCCAGTGGGAGGAGACCCATTGAGAAAGAGACGATTGGGGTTGGAAAAGTTGGGGTGAGTGGTAATTTGGTGGAATGGGTCTGGAATTTGCACAGGGAAGGGAGATTACTCGGGGCAGCTGACATGAGGCTGGGAGGTGAGTTCGACGAGGGAGAGATGGTGAGGGTGCTCATGGTCGGGCTGGCTTGCTCACACCCTGACCCATTGGCCAGGCCTACAATGAGAGGTGTGGTTCAGATGTTTGCCGGTGAGGCTGAAGTGCCCCTTGTTCCAAGAGCAAGACCTTCCATGAGTTTCAGCACTTCTCAGCTGCTCATGAGCTTGCAAGATAGTGTATCTGATTGCAATGGGATGATCACCATCTCTACCTCCTCCTGTTCCTCGGATCCCAGCTTCAGTGGCATTGGAATCGTATGATCCATCAATCTTCTCGATTTGTTTTATTTTTCTAATCTTTTTTCGGGTCTGCCTCTGGTATAGAAAGTATTAATTAAGTATATAAATTCATTTATTTTATTGTTTGTAAAACACAATAACAGGGAGAGTTGTGGTAGTCGTCAAATATCAGATAACTATATATATATATATATATATATATATATATATATATATATATATATATATTAATTTATCTATATATATTTCTCTGCTTGAAGTAATTTTTTCATTGGTATTATTCTTTTGAAGTAATTCGGTGGTTGTCATTCTTGTGGTTTGAGAAAGTGTGGAAGACAGAAGAAAAACGGTATGGATGTCATTTTCATTCCCCCAAGCTTCAATGAATTTTCTTTTGTGGGGCAGGGTGGTTTGCTTTTGGGAACGGAAAGAAGGATGAGTTGATCAGTAGTAGGGAATAGGGAGTTGGTAAGGCAGTAGAGAGAGAAAGAGAATATCTATTATCTAATGACTTTCTAGTTAATTTCTTGCGTGCTTACTGATTGAAAGAATAAATGAACAGTACTAAACAAATTAATAACGGAAAGAAGGATGGGCTGAACTGTCATTCTCCCAAGAAAAGAAATGTGGTCAGTTGGTGACACAAGCTGACATAAACGCACTCTCTTTTTTCTTTCTAGCCACACTTGTATTACTAACCATACTCTCTCCTTAGCTTGATATTTTTTTGTACATTTGATTTGATTTGATTTTTCTCTTTTCTTGTACGTCCATGTTTCCTGCTCCTCCTCATCATCCATTTGATGGGTCACCTCTACTTGAATTGATGAAAGATTGGGCATAGAGAGATGGGACCTGTTGCTGTAACACCTGTATTTTGCATGGACGTGCCACATACAAAATCAGTTAACATCAGTCTATCTATCCCGACAAAATTTCTTTTTCTCGTCTAGAGAAATATGTAATTCCAGTTTTTAATGGTAGATGATATGGCCACGCCTCTTGTTTTGTTAAAAAATTTTGAAAGTTGAATGAGTGTCTCGATATGCAGCTAGCTGTAAGTGGCTTGTTGGGACTAGATTGATCAATAATTTTAATAGGGTAGAGTGTAGATTGATCAATAATTTTGTCTTTGGAGAGAGGCCTCTGAATTTTGTCTTTAAGAGCAATGCACAGTGCACAAGAAGAGATTAATGGCAACAATATTCTCATTTTCTAAACTTTCGACGCTGTCGTTGATCCACATGGTTGGACCAGCAGTAAACTGATCAATAATTTTGCCAGATGAAACGACTGGTTGAACTGTTCATCAACCCACGACCTGGGCAGACACCCCACCCAGATTTTTTTTTTTTTTTGCTTTTCCTTTACAAAGCCTCAAACCCAGTCTCGTTTTCGTGATTGTTTTGTTTGTCTTTGGAGAGACAGACGGTGCTTTTCTGTGTGCTGTAGAGAGAATAATGACAAGAAGACTTCGTGAAGGAAAAGAAGAAGAAAACCAACAACGACCCACGCTGAGTTGAAACAAAACTGGGTCAGGGTGAGTCCAAATGGACCACATCCCACACCTGTGGTCCCAACCCAAGTCGGCAATTCCCAGCTCCTGAACAAAAGTTTAATTAAAAATGGTATTCTTGAAGTGGGGATAGTCATTGTGGGTGCAAAATTATAATAAAACAATATTCTTTTTTGCTGCATATTATTTTATTTATTTATGTAGGATCCTTTTTGCTGCATATTATTTTATTTATTTATGTAGGATAGGATATATAAATACCTTTTTTGCTGCATATTTTATTTATTACCACCACACGCTGTTTTAAAAACCGACCAAGAATTAGAACTGTCTTGGCCACTGATTCAACAGTCCGGTCTGAACAGACAAATCCTTGTAATTTTAAGAAAAATAAAAAGTAACCAGCCTGAGTCAGCAGATTCTTGACCAGATCAGCTTTTGGTTATTATATCAACAGTCCAACCGCCCAGGTTAGCAATGGTTCAAAAACCATGCCACCACATGTTATATATATATATATTGTAGTGGATTATGATATGTGGTCAAACAAATTGATTAGATTGATGAGAAGATTTGTGACAAATTAAAATTAAGAATCTCTTTTAGGTTTGAATTTATGAAAATTGTTGAAATTAATTCTTTTGTGGACTCAGAACTCATTCTGAAAAAGAATCATATTTTGACTACTGGATACTAACCAGATCATACTGTTTAGGAAGGCCGCCTTCTTGATTCTCCACACTCCACATATGCTCCTTATGCTTATCTTGTGCTTGTGTTGATGTTTTAGTATCCTATTTTCCGTCTCTTTGCCTCACAAGTATGCATCAGTAATTTAGCAGTCTGAACCTCTTAAGTTTGACGATTTGTGAGAATTTGGATTCGGGAAACTATAAAAATGTAATCTTTTATTGTCATATTCATCCACTCTTACATTGAGATTGAGTGTTTATCCAATTAAAACCACCCTTGTGAATTTTGATGAAATCTCATTGGCTCTATTTGGGTAAGGATGAAAACTTTATATCCAATTAGGTAGGGAACCGTGTAGTGTGAATGATCAATAAGTAGATGTCCCCAATAAATATATGATTACAGAGGGTGAGGAGTGAGGATTGAGGTGGACTGCTGAACCATACACCTAGCAAGTGGCAATCATTTCTCACACTATTTGACATATGCCGCGACCCCTTATTAATGAAACACCGACACACCAAACAAAAGTTGAGGCTCTCTCAGAAATAAATCCATCTTCGGTTTTGACTACTAGTCATAAATCTATTCAAGTAATGAAGTAACAAGGACGATGTGGGTTTATATTCCATATAAAATCAAAATGATGTGATTCTAAACCCATTCTTTGCTAGAGCGAAGGGGCTTAAAGAAAATGAAAGATCTCATCTAACTCTGTTTCTTTTTTCTAGCTTTGGGTTGGTTCACTTGAGATCAGATCCCCGGAGAGAGGGAAGTCGTTTTTCATTTTTGTGTTGAAGTTGCATGGAGTGGATGGAAGAGGAATTATCAATCGTAGAACGTCGCCTGTTAGGCTCCATTTGTTCACAGGAAAAATATTAAAAATGAAAATATTTTCCAATATTCAAATCCCTGTTGTATATATAATTTTATTTCAAAAGAAAAGAAACTAAAAGGCCAAATCTCTAAAAGCAAACTGACGGGGCATTAAGCGAACAACCTAATCTTTATCAAGGTTTTATGACAAAAATGAAACTTAGAGCAAATGGTTTGTTAAGGAATAAAGAATAAGCCCATGCTCTCTTGCAAAATGTCAGTTGGAATCGGAATGAAAAACCCTCAGAATTGGAAATGGACCGAATGGTCTATTTTCATAATCTGTTTGATTTAGACAGAAATATTTATTCTCAAGAAAAAAGGAGATAATAATCATTTCCTCAAATAAGAGAATACCATTCTGCCAAAATACCAATTTCATCCAACTAAATAATTGAAATCAAAATGATCCACAATTCTAAATCTCTATTCCCGTACACCAAACGGGCCCTAATTCGTATAACCATAAGGGGGCTGACCGCACAATTCAGGATTAACAACGACGCAGCGAAATGGTTCATTGATTATATAGGCGATAAGGACAATCAACCAATCTTGTTTCCGAATTCCAAATGTAAACTTTGTGACCCTCTTCATAAATCATAATTAAGAAGCTGCCAATTTGGTGATGGGATGTCTCATCTGGAGTCTGGGCCCAAAGCAGCCCATTGGTTTTATTACTTTTGGCTTTTTCTCTAATAATAACAACCCATAAAAGGTCCATACGTCCATAACAAATATACCAACTTTAAAATTTTAAAAACGTTATACATATTTTCATGAAAAAGTCAATATTAATATGGTTTAGGTGGACCTTATGAGCCCATATGAATGAAATCCACCTGGTTTTCAGGGCCCAAAGAACATCTGGTAAGACGTCGACATTTTCTCTTCATGAGAAATTGTGCTGACATGTACAGTCACACGTAATCAAATTCCATGCACAGAGAGTTCAGATAGAAATAGCCGTAAAGCAAAGAAGTTTGCTACCATTACGCGCGCCTTGTCCATCATAGACCTTATATTACAAAACATTAAAAAAAATTAGAGTATAGGAGGGGGGATACGTCGAGGTGCTCTCTGCTTGACTCCACTGCCAGGCCCGTGACCCCAGCATTTGCCGACAGTAAAATCAGTGACCCCATCTATTTATGAGGTCTAGGAGTCCAAGGTCAAATTCGTCATCATCCATGCCTTACCCATGTATATTACATGGTCAGCTACATGTTTTGTCTATCTGTTATAATGCTAATAGTGCTTCAATCATTTATTATTTCTATCCAAGATTCAATAAATTATTACGTATTGATGGATATGTATCATATTGGGCCCTTTTTAATACGTCTCTATAGCGGTTGTATCGAGTTAGGACCTGGTCCAGAGGGTAGCTGCGACTTAAATCAATCCCTCTAAATCAAAATTAAAATAAAAATAAATAAAAGCTAAAAAAAGGATTGATACTAGTCAATACGCCCCACCAGCATATCGGTCAGTATCGATACTTTGAACCTTACTTCTACCCATATAATTTTTTAGTCTACTATCCCAAGCTCTTCTATCCATGTCATTTTGAAAAGAGCGAGCAAAACATGATAATGCGACTAGACAGAGTGCAAGAACGAAACAAAAACTGAAAAACTGAAAAACTAATCATCCATTGCCAAATCAATCGATGTGTGCATCCACAATAGAATTCAATTGATGGGCTAGAACTTTTAATCGTCATATTTGAATTTGGGGAGTTGGGATGGCATCGTTGTCTTCTCCTTATATTCAAAGCCTTGTAGGTTTATTGTTGGTTATGGTATTGATAACCACTCGACTGAAACTGAAAGGAGGAGATATAAACATCACAGGATTCTCTGCAAGCAAAAATTCTGTATACACAAACTGTAAAAAAATGAGAATCCAACGGTCCAACTACACATTAGGTTGTATTTGGTTGCAATACAAATTTATTTGCATTAGTACAAATGCATGGGAGTACAAATGTAAAAAATGCAAATTATTGTTTAATTTTATTTTAGATC